GCTGGTGACAATCGCTGCCACGATGTTGCAACCTTTGGACAAATCAGAGGCAAAACCGTCATTAAATCTGTCTGTGTGCAAATCCTGACAGGCTTAGGCCTGGTCATACTGCGCCACCAAAGGGCATGAATCCCGTTCTACCTGCTGACCAGCCATGGTCGGACCCATATGATCGTTGGCTTTAAAGCTTCGCAGCGTTGGGTCTGGAGAAGTACCATGGCCCCTTATCTGGCTCTGGACCATCAGACCTTTTGACTAGAATTTTATGTTTTTCAAGTAGCTCGGTTTCGTCAATGGTTTTGTTAACAAAAAAGTCCACGAGTGCTTGCATGGTGAAAGCGGGATCGAAAAAATCAAATGACCAGTAGGCATCGCCATCTATAAACAGGATCAAGTCATGTTCCGAATCGCGGTCACACATATCACACTCCCAGGTATACCAGTCTATTTCGGTTTGAGGTAGCTGATAGAGACGGTATCCGTTGACATCCTTGATAAAAAAACGTGTGTAATCGACCATTTTCAGAATGATCCGATGTGGACTCGGAGGAAGGGGATGGAAGAGCGTAAGGTAGAGGGAGGGGGGCGTGTATTTATAGATTCTAGATGGATTCAATGGGGATGAGTCAGGAGCAAGTCAGCGGCATGCATAATCCAGAATTGTGTATAGACAAAGGATCAAGTCAAGACATTCCAAGCTTAATCCATTGATGTGCTGCCGTCTAGCAGGCGAGATCACCTTCCTTGCACTTGCTGGTCCTGCTGTGCGCGCTTCTCTGACGCCTGCCACTCCCACACAAACTCGTGCGGCCGGCCCGTCGACACTAGCGTCACTTCTTGCCGTCCGTTCCGTTCTTCATTCGACCCTGTCACTTCTCGAATGAACAAATCGTAGTGCGTCTCCGGCCCAGGGCCCGCGTGCAGACGCCGCACCAGCAAGTCACTCCGTTCTTGCCGACCAGGTACAATGGGTGCCTCGCGCTCCACCTCGACATGCGCATTCCGCTGGACATGCTTGTACAGCACGTCACGCACTCTGTTGTGACAATGTGTCTGTCCGCGGATCCATCGGTCTTCGCAGTGTTCGCTGTGACTGAGCCGTGCCTACATCCAGCACTTAATGTACAGGTGCTATACCGTCTCGTAGCCAAGGAATCGGACCGCTCCCCCCCGCTTCCCGGGGACGGTAAGGATCGAAGAAGGAATGAAGCCGAATCTATGCGACCAGCCTATATGCACTGGGCTGGTCAAAAAATTGACTGGAGTCGAGGGGAAACAAGTGGGAGTAGGAGGTATGACAAAATTGTCTATTGATTGAATCGACCATGGTGGCGATAGCAGTCGAGGTGCAAACCGTGTATTGGCGACAGTTACATCGGGTTTGAGAGTATGATGGTGTGAAGTGGAAAGCTATTAGCCAGGCGAATCCCACGATTGGCCATAATGTCAAGATGCACTCTACTTCATACATCAATCCATGTCTTCATTGTATTCCTACGGACAAATATCCGAGATATGTGCATAAGCGAAAGAATTCTGGCTCCTCTATTGGATCCGACATGAAGATGGCCAAATCGATATGCTGTGGGTAGCTTAGTAGCTTAGCAGAGGAGGATAATGACGTCATCGAATGGATAATATAAAATGAAAGAACAGCTTGAACGTACCAATTGCCTACTATGTGTCTTCAATAGCTACCACTAGCGTTTGCATTGATTGGATCGAGCTGTATGACCGCAGATGGGGTCCTTGTGACATTGTGCAAAGATCATTTCTGTACCCAAGATTGTATTACTGCAGATCTCAATGAAAACAATTACATGCCAGAGGGTACACCCAGAGATGACTATAGATCATTGAGGGTTGAAAATCCAGAACAAGACACCAACGTCTTTGTATCAAAGCATCACTTTTGCTCCTACTATAGTGGAAGGGAAAAGAGATACCAGAAACAGCCACAAGCGGCAGCACTACTGAGAGTCGCAGCTGGGGATAATAAATGTCATGATGTTGCGAATTTTGGTCAAAACCAAGGGACTACAGTCATTAAATCTGCTTGTATTGCAAA